TCTGTGACCAATTAATTTTGAAATATGTGACCGAAGAATAAATTTTGACCAATTAATTTGAAAATCTGTGACTTATGAATAAAATTGTGACCATTAATTTTATAATTGTGACCTAGTTATATTTAATTAATGAATATTTTTAATTAATTACCAAATACCTGAATTTTTAATTTATAAACTATATACCTGTTTTTTGAATTGGTGTAAACCATACACCTAAATTGTGAATTTTTCCCTACATTTTAATGTGCCTAGATTAAAGTCTTTTTCAAATCTAGGCTTGACTCTAGGGACAAGTCAAACCACCACAAGGCCCGAACGTCCACGTTTTTTATTTATATCAAATGTAGGTGCTTGAGAGACGTTTAAAAAATATTTTTCAAAATATTTGTCATATTTAAAATACTTGTTTGGATTTTTACCTTTGAAAACAAATTTTTCAAGTAATATCGTGATTTTTGGATCGTAAAATAACACTTCGAGCTCGTCACGATTTATTATCAAGTATTGAAATGTTTTACCTTTACATATAATTGTACAATGTCTAATCGTCTTGACTTTGTCGTTCTTTTGACTTGTATCTTAGTTTGCGTCTTTTGCGAATATTTAAATTCCAATTCGATCGTCGCATGCAAATCGTTATCGTCTAGAATGATTTGACTTGAATGCTTAACTTTCACTTTGTTATTCATTTCGAGTCCAATTTATAATGTGTTGAGTTTGCCAATGCTTGATTGATTTCAACGTTGAACTATCATTACTCAAAAAATAATATTGGTTTGTTTGTTATAATCAAAACATTAAGGTTATAATCAACCACTGGTCAACAGATATCTGGGTATTTTAAGAAGGGTGATGTTGACAAGGCAAGAGGGATTTTTGACAAGATAGTTTGAGGAACTTGATTATTTGGAATTTGTTGATTTCTGGGTACGAGCTAAGGTTTGAGAAGGTTTCTGTATATTTATTTTATTATCTGGAATTTTTTTTCAATGGTGTAGAGGAAGAGGTTAAGATCTATGAGCTTAAGAAAGATGATTTTTCTGTAAAATTGACCAATTTTTGTGCCAAAATCATATCTGTTATTTTATGTGCTCTCTTCAATTAAATTGAATAACAAATTGTCCTAGAGAGCTAATTTGTGATTCTTGTAGGGACAACTAAACTCTAGAGTTCGGGTTGGCTTTTCTTTTTCTTGGTGTGTCTCGATGGGTGAAAATTTTGGGAAAGGAGATGGGAGGATAGAGGAAATGTATTATGTCTAAATTGCCCTTACCTTATTTGGAGAAAATTATTAGATTTTTAATTTCTGGGTCAATTGACGATTTTTTGGGTCAAACTAACGAAAATCGTTATGTTGAACTTGAGCTGCGATTTTTTAAAGGTTTAGTACAGTGACTGGTACAAATGAAATATTTGAGCAAAGTCTATAACTAACTGAAAGGTTTGGTACCTCGACTGCAATTTTCCCTAATAAATGATATTCATCCCACTGGAGTTGAACAATAGTTTATGTGGTAATTATATGAATAATAGACTCAATTAAATGAGTCATGTGATTTTATATTTAAATGAACATATCATTTAATATCATATAATTATAACATAGACTATGACTCAACCCAACGAGGATGAATAATATTACTCTAAAAATTATTACATATTTACTCTCCCAAATTCAGCCAAAGACCTTGTCCCCCGCAAAAATCAAACAATGGCCCTCTTGAATCTGGCACCAATACACCGACCCCACGTCCCCCTACTGCACACCAACTTCAAACCACCTCTGCAACCCAAAACCCACCTCTTGATCCCTGTAATACTATCAAAATCACCCGCAAAAACCCACAAAGAAGAAGACCCATATCCCTTTTACTCTTCTAACGTTCTTCTACATCAGGCTTTTGATAAGCCGCTATTGTTTAAGCGTAGTTGGAATATTCAGATTCTTGCCGGTGTAAACGAGCCTGAAGAAAAACTTGTTGGCAGGTTCCGCAGGGAGGTGTTGAAGGCGGGTGTTCTTCAGGAATGCAAGCGTAGAAGGTTTTTTGAAAGTACGCAGCAGAAAAAGAAGAGGAAGACCCGTGAAGCTGCTAAACGTAAACGGAAAAGGTTAATTCTATTTTTCTTTTGAAATAGGGGAAATTTACAGAATATAGAACTGAACTACTTAGTAATGTTATAGAAAAATCTATTATTATGCTGATTTCAAAATTCTTGTTTGATTTCTTGTTACTGTTTTTGGAATATTTGGAGTTAAATTCAACTAAAAGTTTGTGAAATTTGATGTTGCTTGTTGAAACTTAAGACAGTAGCTATTTGCGAACTAAGAATTGATTATGTGTTGTCCCCCGAGCACATCCGAGTTGGCAAAGGATGGGCGGGCGGCTTGCAACTTCTGGGTGGAGAGTTCGATTCCTGGATGGAGCAACTGAGTGTTGTAATACTCAATTTGGGTGGAGCAGCTTGGTGATGTAATATCCATTGAGGATGGCTCCCTTGGTGTCAGGAGTATAAAGGGTGGACGGACTCTGGTCAACTTGGGCATATCCCGCGGTTAACCTCCACCCATCACTGAGGAGCGGGGATGGGGTAAGATGGGATACCTGGATATAAAAAAAAAAAAAAAGAATTGATTATGTGTTAGTCTAGACTTTTGCCAATTAGGCTGTCAACTAAGATGTCACGTCACCTTTTCGACTAGCGGACCTGGATCGATTGACCAACTTAAAACAAGTTTTTAAAGTTTGCCGATCAACTTGAAATGAAGTTCAGTATAGTGATTACATGAAATTATGCTAAAAGTTCAGAGATCACCAGTGTTTTTAACCCGGAATGTTTTATCTGTAAGTAAACAATGACATGGAAATTCAGGCGAGAAAAAAGCCCGGTTCCCTGAAAAGATACAACGGGAGAGGAGAGAGTAGCCTTAGAAGACTAGAGAGTTTACATAAATAAAAACAATATGAATTGGGGCATAGGAATAATAAATGGATAGAATGTAGAATCTACGGTGTTCAATTGTTGTGGGTCAAATTTTTTGATTTCTCCTATTCTTGATGGGAAATGGTGATGGTTTGAAGTTTGTTTAGGTACAAGATGAACACAATTTACAACTGATGAAGGTTTAGTTGTATGTTAGAATTTTAAGTTCTTGTTACTGCTCTGTATATAGCCCCTCAAAAGGTATTTGAGTTGAATGAGGACCACCTATTTGAATGTAAGGGTCTGAATTGAATGGAATCGAGACTTGAAATGATAAAGATTTTAATTTTATATGGACATTGAGCAGGTAAATGAAATTTTGAACTTAAGAGAGCTCGAGAACTGCTTTGTTGCACAATTAAAGTTCGTTACTTATGCTTGACTTTGTGATCTGATTTCACCTCAGAGTCTTTCCCGCTACCACTTTCCTTGCTATCTTCCTTTATTTTTTCCCATCCAACTCAAAAGTCAAAACGGTAACATTCATCGTCAATATGAGGCCTAAGTTGTGGAAAAACATTTAGAATTTCAAAGTATATTATGGAATATTTGAATGCACGACTATCCTTATCATTCTCAGCAACAGTCATATTAGTCATATGTCTCCTTTTTTGTCAGGCGGCCACAATCTAAAGCATCAGTAAGGGTCAAGAAGGAAGATCTGAAGAAGAAAGATGACTCTGAGGATGATAACTGGGAGATTTTTGATGTAGATTTGCCATATTGTTGACAGCTAGTACAGTACCAATGCTAACTCTGTAAGTGGTCAGAGATTTGTAAGGGAACTGGGAAATTTCTCCTTTTACTGATCTGCACACTGTGAATTGAAGGATATGGTAAAGCAAAGTACTCACCTGTTGATTATCGGAGATGGAAGGAAGCATCTGATGCTAAACTCCACGAGTTCTCTAACTCGGGCATTTTGTGAATGACTCGCTTGTGCTGCTATGTATATTTTGGTACTTAATGTTGAAACAAACTTGCATTGCTTCCCTGTGGCAATGAGTTGAACTTATATTACTGCTTTCTTAGGGTTTTCCAGTTGAAGATGGAAACTTTCCTGGTGTTGGCTTGTGTATTCATTCCAAAGTACAAAGATAATATCATGGAAGAAAAACACTTGCAATTTGTATTTCTTTGTGCATGCACATTCTTCCATTTCTCAACCTTTTTAACTTCTGTGTAGTCCGACTTTCATCCACCATTATTTCGACGCTAGGTGTAGTGTGGATTGGATGGCTCGGGAAATTAAAGAAAGAGAAAGAAGTTAATTCAATTTTGTGTAATTCCGTGTATCAAAACATGTCCTATATGAATCACTTGCCTTATAATCATGACGGTGACAAAGCAAACTTTATTCTCAATAGACGTGAGATTGAATGTAAATCTTTTTTTTTTTCCTTACCTTGTTTAATTCGTGTAAAAGTTTGAATACTATTAGGATCCGTTTTATTGTAAGAATGAAATTTGGATGGAAAGAAAATGAATTTCAGAAAATTGAATTGTCTAAAACTTGTTGGAAATGGTGCCCATTTGACCACAATATTAAGTGGAACCCAATGATCGAATTGATGAAATTTATGTTCAATTAAATTCTACGATCCGATTAGATGAGTGTAGAATATTTACTTGTGAAAAACCATTTCAATATGAATGAGAAATTAAGATTGAAAGTCGGATAATAAATACGAGGAATAAATGAGAAAGAATTGGAAAAGTGTTCCAATCTCACATAGGTTGCAAACACAACCTTGAACCACTTTATAAACTCCAAGGTTGGAAATGGGTTTGGACCCCAAGGGGTACCAATAGCCTTTGAAAGGGGGGAGTCTTAGACAATGTCTAAGATTAACCAACGGCCACACGCGCGCGCGCCGCCGTCCGTCCGACCGGCACGAGCTCGGGCCGTGGGCCTGGACTTGGGCCAGGCCAGTGCCAATATTAATTTTTTTTGGATAAAATTTATTTGAATTTCTTATCCGAATTAAATTAATTCCCTCTTCTTCACGGTTAATTAACCAACCCATTAGTTGCTTAACTGGTGAGTTAAGTGGGCGTGAGTGGTGAAAACTGCTACAAGTGGGGAGTTGAACGAAGGCTGAACCGTCAACTCCCTCCTCTATTTAAAGGGTCATCGAGCTTTCATTTGAACACACAACAAAAACACACGAATTCATACTGCACTGCATACATTGTCTTCTTGTATTTTTCGTTTCTGCATTAGTCTACAGAGATTACTTCCGTTCTGGTTCGCTGTCTTGCAGTCGACGTGCTACTTCTGCAAGTGTGATCGTTGTATCTTGGGAGACGATTTACCATATACCGTAAGCACCGTGTGATGGGGTAAAAACGTCTTAAGGACAGAGAGCATAGTTCTCGCCTCGATCATCCTCATTCCGTTTACAGCAATTGTTTACAGCTTTCTGTTTTACTAGTTTCATGTTACTGTTTGTAATATTTTAAATTCCTACATTCTGTCCTTACTGTTTTCGCAAGTCGATTCTGGAAATTTTTATTTTCAGATACAAATTTTATATCCAACAAAACTTGTTTTACTGGAAATTGTCAATTAATTGTGTTTGATTGGTATAATCTTTCACTTGGAAAATATTGCAATTTTGGATTTTTTTGATGTTCGTATGACTTTGTTTTTCATGGAAATTGTTTATTAAAGGGGATATAATTTATTATAATTGGGGATAGAATTTGTTTCAATTGCCCAAAAAAAAAAAAATTTGCATAGAAAACCAAAAACTACCAAACTCACGGGAAAACCAATTCAAGGAAAATGGGGAAAAATGGGGTGACGTGATATATAAGTTCGAAAACCAATTACCTAAAAAAAAATTGGATTATTCTAATGGTACATCACTACTTACATAAGACTCCCTCCAATGAGGAGGTGTCGGGTGTCCATTATGGACACCCTGATGTAAGAGGTGATGTACCTCTAGCATCTCCCAAAGAATTTGTTATCAAACAGTCTAAATGTGGAAAATTGAAAATAATTTACAATTTCCATGCTCCCTCCAATGAGGAGGTATCGGGTGTCCATTATGGACACTCCGATGTAAGAGGTGATGTACCTCTAGCATCTCCCAAAAAAATTTCCTATCAAATAGTCTAAATGTGGAAAATTGAAAATAATTTACAACTTCCATGGAAAATTCTTCCTTATCATACATTGCCTTAGATCATTATGGATAATACTTTTTTGACTTGCTATAAGTATATCTTGGACTTGTGAACAAAATTAGAGAAGGTGTGTCACAACCACCTCAGCTGTATTATCTTAATTCTGTTGAGAGTTAGAAATCTTAATTTTATACGATCAAGAGTAATTAAATCACATAAAGAAAAAAGAGAGAAAGAATAATATACAAGATTTATGAAGGTTCGTCGCAATGTGAGATTACGTCATCTTTCGTCACTGTAGTAATTCACTACAATGAGGTCGATCAACATACTAGTTTTACATACCAGTAATAATTAGGCTCACAAAGTAATATATTTATTTTAAATAATGCTATTCATCTAAAATCAAGATGATTATCGGTCTATATGGATCATTGTCACATTATTTAATGAAGTTGTAATGCATTTTTGTCAAAGCACACGAGTTAGTAAACAATGTTCCAGAGAAACGCAAGATTCGACCCCCACTACACCTAGAGGGGGGTGATTAGGTGTAAATGCAAAATTAAAATTTAATCAACATACAACAAGTTATAAGTTAATTATGTCTAGGTAATTAGTTAAACAATTCAATTTAATATATCTTGAAATACCACAGTAATCCCAAAGCAGTAAACAACACCAGAATTGTTCACGGAGAAACCCAACGTGGGAAAAACTCCGGGCACTTTGCCAGTTAAAGATTCATTATAAACTGTCAATAAAACTTACAGACTACCAAATAAAGTTGACAACACAAACTTTCTGATCTCCTGTCTGAAGTATGAAGCAGCCTTCCTGGAATGTGCACACCAACACAAATCCTGGCTCTTCTATGTAAAGCAGGCCTCCTAGAATGAGCATACGAACTCCAATCCTGACTCTTTATGCAGTTTATCTCATGTAGATCTTCCCCAATAACTCCTCGTTCTCTAAACTCTTCCTTGATCTTTAATGCAGCACAGTTGACGACATAATCTTGCAGCAGATCCAAGCGAAGAAACCAATTCAGTGTTTGATTTGATAGCTTTGATACTCCTGTCTGAAGTATGAAGCAGCCATCCTCGAATGTGCACACCAACACCAATTCGGCTCTTCTTTGTAAAGCAGTCATACTGGAATGAGCACACGAACTCCAATTCAGACTTTTTACGAAGTTTATCTCATGTAAATCTTCTCCAAAAACTCTTTGTTCTTCAAATTCTTCCTTGATCTCTAATGCAACACAGTTGACGACACAATCTTGCAGTAGATCCAAGCGAAGAAACCAATTTAATGTTTGATTTGATTGCTTTAATGTTTTCAATGAAAAATGCTCATGAACAATGAAAGATTGAATTTTGGATCTTATGTAGAATGTATTCTTCTTGAATAATGTGTTGTTCAATCACTCTCTCAGAAAATACGGACGAATTAGGTTGTATGGACCTACTAAAAATATCGGAAAAGAAAAAGTAGATTTTCTAGTTAAATATGTCGCTAGAGCGAAGAGGCTTTCTCGCTCAAGCGAAGGGTCTGTCGCTCGAGCGACAGTAAGGCGAGAATTGAGCGAATTGAGCGAAGTGGGTTCTGCTTCAGTCGCTCGAGCAACACTCTGGCTAGCAGCTAGCGAAAATCCGGCGTGAATTCTTTTTGTTCCAAACACATAACCCCAAACTCTAATCCTAATCTACCAACTATGAAACTTTACAATTTAGTCCCTAAACTTTTATAATTATTCAAGTTGGCCAATTTGTTCACAGAATCGTTAATACAAAATATAAACTTAACAGTTCCCTCGAGTACTTGCCTCAATAGCTAACCCAGTCATGCCGTCCCTGCCCGACCCTTCTTGTTCGATTCAAGTTGACAATATCTATCAAACTGAAACCGAAGTCTGGGGACAGTTCTCTTTTCAACTTGCACAACGGCAGGCATGTAACCGAATGCAATCTAGAAAACAGTTCATGGCCGGACATAAGAATTGCAGAATATGCTGCGCCGGATCCATCGAATAAAACCTACAGTTTACGAATAATCCATTGAGATAAAACCAAAAATCCATGATTAAGATATGTGGTTAATTATATTATTGGAAATAATCACTATATTCTACTGTCCTAGAAATGCAAGAGAATCTATTTACCGTCCTAATTTTAACAGTTTATAAGTGAATAAGAGCGGAAGGGATAGAAGATTACAAATTTGAGATTCTGATTTCTTAATGATCTATGCCACATCCACATCAAGTTTCCTATGCACACTGATTCCACGAATATATCTATCATATAATATTTTTTTATGCAAGTATATTCTTACGTATCTATGCATATTGTAGGATCTCAAAAGGCCATGGTAGAGTTGCTGCACCAAATGTTTGTGATTGAGTAAATAATTTTATGAACGATCGAACTGTACTGACATGGACGTAAATATTTGCACGCAACATGGGGTTTAAACGAGTAATACTACTAAAAAGTACCTCAAGTGCATGATTGGCTAGTTGTGAACCGCTTGTGACTGTTTTTGGTGGAAAAGGTCCATGTCCATAACATCGATTTTAGGTAAGAACGATTTCTCACAATTTTGTTCGTTTACAGCAAAACATTTTCCTTTTTGCTCGGTTCAAAAAGTTATGTTTCTCAAGATGCTTCAAACCCCAATAGAAATCTCTATCTCAGCATAGTTCTTGAATCAAGGACTTGCGTCTCATCTCAATTGAAAAGACTATAATAATTTATCTCCCTTAAAAATTGGGATTTGCAGATCATAGAAAATTGATTAACACTTAACAAGTTTCATGCATGTTATTAAAGGGTCAAGCGAAAAAGAAATGAAAAATCATTTAGTGCATATGAATTTATAAAAGTTAAGGGGTTGTTCTCTTTGTGTTTCAGTTTTGTGCTTTGTATTTTGAGTATCCATTTTTAGATTGTTGAAAATGTGTTTTTTTGGTATTTTGAAAACACCCAAAACGACAATTTGTTGTTTTGGATTTTCTTTGTAAATTTTTCATTTGTTTTCTAAAACGCGTTTTCGAAAATAGAAAAGCAAACACGTTTTCACTATTTTGGAAAATCGAAAACAGAAAATGGTAAATAGAACAGGCGTTTCGTGACTTTTGTCTAAATTTGAGGCATTTGTACAATGTTGTGGGCCTTGTGGCCTCGTAGACTGGAAAATTATGCTAGTTGCCAAATATGTAGTGCCAAAGAAAAAACTTGGAGAATATTGATAGGTCTATGCTTCAAATATTTTTGTCTGCTAAAAAAAGACATTCATTAAAACTTTATTTTTCTCATGTTTGTTAGCATTATAGCATGATCCAAAAACTTTGTTAAATATGGTAACAAGAATGCCTTTGATTGTTGTCTATATAAGTTACCTTCGTTTGTTAAGTGGTTCTTTCAAGAGCCTTACTTCAAGATCAAGGGCAAAGAGGGAGAGAGGTCTCTGATAATTATATGGCTTATAGTTTCTTGTTACGCGATTCGTGCAATGAGAGAAAAAATTATGTGGCTTCATACCCGAGCCTACCCATTTTGGAGAGTGCGAAGTCCTCCTGGTTCCCCATTTTGTCTGATGAAACCGGTGACTTCAAGAGGCTGAAGCGAACTGCGAGTGTTGGCACGTTCCCCACTGACAACAGTTATGACGATAGTGGTAATGGCAGCATTGTTCGTACTAATAGCACGGGTAGTTTGAACAGCTTTCCAAGGCTTCACTTTCGCGATCACATATGGACATATTCTCAACGATACCTTGCAGCCGAGGCCCTAGAAGAGGCTACAACAGTCATTGGTTCGGAGGACAGAGAAATTGAAGGCGTAGAAGTAGACAGAAAAGGGGATGGAACAAAATTAGTCCAACAACTCATTTCTTGTGCTGAAGCTGTGGCTTGTCGGGATAAGTCACATGCTTCAGTCTTATTATCCGAGCTTCGGTCTAATGCTTTAGTCTTTGGTTCTTCGTTTCAACGCGTGGCATCCTGTTTCGTGCAGGGGCTTGCTGATAGGCAGGCTTTAGTTCAACCCCTAGGCACTGTTGGCTATGTAGCTCCTAAAATGAACGTAATGGACATTGCCTCGATAAAAAAGGAGGAAGCTTTACGCCTTGTTTATGAAATTTGCCCACATATTCAGTTTGGTCACTTTGTGGCAAATTCTTCAATATTGGAAGCCTTTGAGGGAGAGAGTTTAGTCCATGTGATGGACTTGGGCATGACCCTTGGTCTGCCACATGGACACCAATGGCGCGGCCTAATTCAAAGCCTCGCCAAGCGCTTGGGTCCACCTCCCCGTCTTCGGATCACAGCGGTCGGCCTCTGCATTGATCGATTTCGAGTCATTGGAGACGAGCTCGAGAATTATGCACAAAGCCTAGGACTGTATTTGGAGTTTTCAATGGTAGAAAGCAACTTGGAACACCTTAAACCTAAAGACATCAAGGTTCTTTCTGGGGAGGTCCTCGTAGTCAACAGCATCCTGCAACTACATTGTGTGGTGAAAGAAAGCCGGGGCGCCTTAAACTCGTTTTTGCAGATAATTCACGAGCTCTCGCCAAAGGTTTTAGTCCTTGTTGAGCAGGACTCGAGCCACAATGGACCTTTCTTTCTTGGACGATTCATGGAAGCGTTACATTACTACTCTGCAATCTTCGACTCCCTCGACGCCATGCTCCCAAAATATGACACAAAGCGTGCTAAGATAGAACAATTCTATTTTGCCGAGGAAATCAAGAACATAGTAAGCTGCGAAGGGCAGGCCAGGGTAGAAAGGCACGAGAGGGTCGACCAATGGCGTAGAAGGATGAGTCGAGCTGGATTTCAACCTGCACCGCTGAAAATGTTAGCTCAAGCCAAGAAATGGCTAAACAACATCAATGCCTGTGAAGGCTACACCATTGTAGAAGAAAAGGGTTGCCTTGTTCTAGGATGGAAATCTAAGCCCATTGTGGCTGCTTCTTGCTGGAAATGCTGAAAATAAACTTTATATGGGATTGATTCTCACAGAAAATAAGATAAAAACTCAATAATAATAATAATAATAATAATAATAATAATGATAATGATAGGCTAAAACCGTGTTTTTTAGCCTAAACTTTCAGTCTTTCGAGACAAGTTTGGAGTTAAAATAAGAAATCTGAATAGATTGTGTGAGCTGTTCAGATGAAATAAACTGATTCTGTTGGTTTTGTGTGCATAAAGATTTGGTGTACAGCCAAAAAAAATTAACGTTTCTTTCATTCTTTGATTACAAAAATGCACTAATTTCAGCTTATTTCTCTATTCCTGTCAGCTCTCAAAAAAGTAAGCCCCTGTTTGAGTCATAGTAAAATTTTCATTTTCATTCTTATACTCATTTTCAATCACACATTCTTCAATAAAATGATATTTTTCATCACATCAATAACTTTTCCTTCTTTTTCAACCACACATTTTTCATCAATCTACTCTTCCAGAATGCATTCTTACAGAATAATGTATCTCCAACACACCATAAATTAGTGAAGTACAATGTTCAGAAGGGACGTGATCGAATTACTATCATCTAGTTTTGAATTTTGATGACATCTTTTTGAGATTATTTCAATTTGTCTATTTGATCCTATTAAGAAAAATGATGTTTATGTTTATTTTTTTAATTACATTTGTATTAATTGTTGAGTTTTTCGATTTCATAGAATTACAATATTGGCTTTTTACTTGATGTCTCAACATTAAGAAGTTGCAACTAAGTAGTCAAAGTTTGACCTCAAGGTACTTGATGTTTCAAACATTAACGAAACTCTTCACTTTTGATGCTTAAGAACTCTTCAATTTTTAAGTATTTAATGTCACTTGGTATCACGTAAGTTGATATAGCAACAATCATAATGTTAACCAAGTCAAAGTTAAATAATCAATATTAACCACATCTTTTATGAGTTCCACAACTTTTCAACCATACATTTCAAAAATTTCTATCATAATCTACTAAAAATCAAATTTTAATTCTCACCAAATACTCTCATAATATTACTCTATTTTATTGAAGGGACAATAAAATGATCAGTAGAGCCGAACAACAAATTCATCTATTATCACCAACTAAAATGCACATAAAGAGGACATAGAATTTCACGAATAACATGCATACTATTGAAAATAAAAGAAGGTAAACCTGCTGGAATAGGCAGGGAAGAAGATGAACATTTTATTCAATCAACTTGAGATTACAATGCATACAAGAGGAGTATTTATAGAGTAAAATGGCTAACTAATCTATCAACTAAACTAACTAA